GCTCTTTGACCAGCTTGACAATTCCGGACTCGGTCAGGACGATTGGAACTCATGCCTTTGTTGGCTGCAGCTCTTTGACCAGCTTGACAATTCCGGACTCGGTCAGGACGATTGGACATGACGCCTTTTCTGGCTGCCGCTCTTTGACCAGCTTGACAATTCCGGACTCGGTCAGGATGATTGGAACTCATGCCTTTTGTGGCTGCAGCTCTTTGACCAGCGTGACAATTCCTGACTCTGTGACCAAGATTGAAGAAGGCACCTTTTCCGACTGTAGCTCTTTGACCAGCTTGACAATTCTGGACTCGGTCAGCAAGATTGAAGGAGATGCCTTTTCTGGCTGCCCCTCTTTGACCAGCTTGACGATTCCGGACTCGGTCAGGACGATTGGAAATCAAGCCTTTCGTGGCTGCAGCTCTTTGACCAGCGTGACAATTCCTGACTCTGTGACCAAGATTGGAGGAGGCGCCTTCTCCGGCTGTAGCTCTTTGACCAGCTTGACAGTTCCCAACTCTGTGACGGAAATTGGCTCCGGAGCCTACGCCTTTTACGGCTGTAGCTCTTTGACCCAGTTGACCGTTCCGGATTCCTTCGTCATGTCTTATTGTATATCTCAAAGCCAATACCTGCAAGCCTTACCCCATGGCAGACTGAGTCTGGAAGTTGAAAGGGTGCCTGTGGTCCGAGGATCCTGGCTTTGCGTCCCCATGTGATCGGAGTATATTGTATATAAGTTTCCGTTCTTTTTTTGGTGGTTGAATACAACTGGGCAGCCGTGTTTCGTGAGACTCACGTTTCATGGCATTGACTCAATGATCGATGCCTTCAGCGAAGTTCAGTTTGGTTCGTTTGTTGGCAGAAAAGCCTGAAAAGAAGCGGCAGACAGATGAGCAGTCCGAGGCAGTCCGAGTACGTGCATTTCTGCGGCTGAATCCCTGACGATCAGAAAGCCTGGCTTCCCTTTCAGCGACATCGATTCCTTTCCGATGGACGATGCGCAGGTTTCACGGCCCCCCCCTTGGAGTTCTGTTAAAAAGGTGCTCAGGATTTCAGGATCCTTGAAAAGCCGTTTCAAAAGTCCACCATACCCCAGACACTCCATGTATTCCATATATGCCGGGTCAATGTAGGCATATATCATATATATGGCAGTCCCATGGGTCGTGTCTGGGTACTAGTCCAATTCGGTGAACCCGCCGCTTGGCCTCCAGGAGCTGCTGCGCCGCGCATGGCCTCGGCCGCTGAAGCTCTACGTCTCGGCGAACCGCGCCGTGAGCCTGAGCGGGTCGGAGCACGATCCGGCGCCCCGGTGGGATCGGAGTGGAGGGTGGTGAGCAGAATTGGGAGCACGGGCCACTGGGCCACTGAGCTGATCATGGGCCGGAGGGACCATGAGGAAGCCTTGAAGACTCTTGGACACCCATAGTGGTTTCTTACTTCTCAATTCACTGGGTGCCTAATCGTTTTTTGGTTTACCGCTGCTGTTTCGGCCTTGTTTTTTTGTTTTTGACTTGTCTCCTTGCATGTCTCCCCACTATTCCCCACTTATCTGCCTGTGTGATCCGCATTTTGTTTTCCCCTGCTGCCTTGTCTCCCCACTTATGTGCTTGTGTGATCGGCGTTTTGTGTGCCGCTGCTGTTTTTGCCTTGTCTCCCCACGTGTCTCAGCACTTACTTGCTTGAAAGGTTTAAAAGCAGAGAACAAAAACAACGGTTTCAAACACATTCCTACTGTCCTCTATGTACAACCTAGCATCATACCTTTACTCACGCGGTACAAACTTGGTAATATGTAGAAATGAGTAGTTGTCGTGAATAACAGGTTGAGTAGAAATTTGTCTCGGCCGGTAAGGAAGATAAGTAGACAAGGTCTTTCTCACCGGGGGCTGCCCAAGAATGCCATCGCCCAAAACCGCGGTGCCAAACGATCTTGATCACAGCTGGACTGGCGCGATTCCACACCTAAGTGGTTTCAGAACCCCTAAAGGCCCAAGTTTTGGGGCTCCCCAGGCAAAATCTCAAAGGTTCGGTTCGGAATCTTCGAAGCTTATTGAGTTTGTATGTTTCAAGCCTTGTTTCTTCGGGCGTTCGCACGGCGCAGGTTCACACATCGGTTAGGTCACAGAGTAGTCTTCTGGCCGCCTGGTGGGCCAGAGGTTTGTTGAACGCTAGGGGTCCATGATCCACAACGGATGTTTTCACATTCCCTGAAATCACTTTGGAAGTGGAGTTCACCACCTGCTTGGTTTTCGGGTTCCACCTCCCACGGTGTCCCATGATGATTTCAGTGTATCCTTCAGACTCCCGGGGGGGTTCAACAGTCCTTCAGACTTTGGGGGGGGGTTCCATCAGTCCGAGTCCATTTGTGTTTGCTTTTTGGACCCCCCTGGATGCACTATACGTTGCCATTTCGACATACTTCCGGAACTTCCGTCAAGAGTATTCTGATGTTCTGCGTGTTTGTGGCTTTTTTGGGGGGGGAAGTTTCTATTTCCCCACCTGTCAGGTGATAGCTCGCGGTCTCGGATCTCGAAGAGCTTCAAAGTCAAAAAAAACCTGTCAGGTGAAGGTCTCCAGACCAGTGCTACCGCCCGTCGCCTCCGTCACCACCCTGTCCTTCCTCCGCCCTCTTCTTCGGGCTTGGCGTCGGTGTGGTGTGCTCTGCACGTGTGGTGGTTCTGGCTGTGCAGTGGTGAGTGTGCCCTTGACTTTCTGGCCAAAGCACATGCCAGACTTGATGCCAGCCAGAACACATGTCAGAACACATTTCAGAACAAACTGTTGAACACATATCAGAGCAAATGCTGATGCATAAGCAATTGGTAGAACAGATGTCAGATTGCATGCCAGTTCTGACAGATCATCTAGCATAAAGGCTGGGAAATGTCAGCAGGCTTGTCAGAGCCAACCTTTGTCAGGGTAGTTTCTCAATACATGTGCCCTGCCTTCTTCCAAGTGGCCTCTCAGGTCTCAGGGTCGGGGTCACCTGACTTAAGTGTTTGCACTGTTTGCTCAGTAAAGTATCCAAAAAACTCTACGGAGGATTTGCTACAAGCAAGGACTTTTTCATATCATATACCCTCATTTTGGGGGGGGCCATGTCTTCACCAGACTGTCACTGTCCACGCCGTAGACTCAGGACCAGGTCCAGCCTGAGTTGGCCCAGCTGGGCGCTGATCGCTTCTGGCAACACTTCGAGCGACGCTACGGCATCAACCCTGCGCCTCGGCGACCGCCCACGGTGCCGCCTTGGTGAGACGGTGACTTGAACCGGCCACACCCGCCTGCCTTGGAAAGATCGGCATCATTGCAGATCATATATGATCATATATATATATATATATGATCATAGGTTTTGTTTTGACCGCATCACATTGGAAAGGATCTGAAGTCTCAAAAACAACCTAGCATGACCTGCATCTCTTCATCCGCGGTGAGACGGTGACTTCAACCAACCATGTATGACCTTCTTCGCGCGTTCCGTCAGAGGTAGTATGACCTGTTTTGCGGTCGTTCGGTGCCGAGGGTCGAGTTTGCTCTTCTGTTCCATTGGATGCACCGCTCGGAGTCTAAATCACCACCCTATAGCAGCAGTGTAATGTAGACTCTTGATTAATAAACCCTCCTCCATATGAAGAGGTGTTTCAACTCAAATGGGGTGGTTTAGGTCCATCAAGAGTCTACATTAGGTCCATCTAACTGCTGGTATTCCAGCAGTCCTACAATTCCTATGACGTCAGTCCTGAAGACCATCCAAGCAGTGAAAACGTCCCTTCAACAAAGCACCACAGCACAGACCGCACGACCACGACCCGGTCCACCGTTTTCAGGATTTGCAGCATTCCTATGTGCGGGACCACGTGCGGGGCATCTTGCAGAATGATTTCACTCTTCTGGAAAATTACATTCCCAGCACACTGGAACAGCTGCCTGTGCCCCTGTGTGCCCTTTGCGCCAAAGGAGCCAAGGCAAAGACAAAGACGAAGCACCCCCCAGACTTACCAAGTCACATGGAAGCTGAGGGCATGACCCCCGGAGTGATGGTTTTACTTGACAGACTAGCAGGTGTTTTGGTGCATTACTGAGGAACTTGAACCACGGTAACCACCGTAGTTTTGGTTCACCTCGCGTAGAGATGAACATCACCAGGACATCCCAACACTTCCAGCAACAGTCAACAGGAGAAATCACATTACATGGTGAAATGACACCAGGAGGTCCTTTTTGGGGGGGGTGTATGTTTAAACGCCCCAGTGAGTGGGCCATGCACCCCCGGTGTCCCGGAACATGGAGCAAAAAATCACTCTTGCACCTTCCTTTTGGAGTGGAAACACAGTAAGCCTGGTGAATCCTGTTTGAGTTGCCTGGGGGCTTAGGATCTGGTCCGGGCAACTTCTTTCCACTGAGAGCTCGGTATACCCGCTTTTTCTCATCATGGAAGTGGAGTTCACCACCTGTTTGGTCATCCTTACGGAGCCATGCCATCCACGTAACCATTCAGTGAATTATTCAGGGAGTATTAAGTACCGTGTCTTTGGTGGTACAAGCGTAAACCAGCTTCAAGATGATGAGTGACGAATTATCTGAATGAATCATGATGAATCATGGTCCTTAGCAATCACACGCTTCACCTGATCCCAGCCATCCCTGATGAGTGACAAATTATTTGCATGTCGTTTCCCCTGTCCTTCAAAGACCATGAACAATTGAAAGGTTGACCTGGTGTTGTAGTCACTAGTTCCAAAAAAAACTACTACTACAACACTTTTATTTTCAGCATTTTTCGGTGGTTCTGGTCAAACCCCCCAAAAGACCTGGGTGGGGCGGGTACTCCGGCACCCGGTGCACCGGGTCTTGCTGACTTTGGTGCTCCTCCAGGAGATGCGCGTTGCCGTCCCGAGCAACTCACGGCCTGGAATCAAGTGGCGGGCGACAGCTTCCAAGAACGCTGGTTCCAGGCGAGTTCTGGTGACCGTTGACTGCACAGTCATGGCTCGATCCGGTGAGCACGAATGGGGCTGCGAAGAACATGAATGAATCGGAGTGGCACCTCCGGTGGAGTGGCGAGGTGGAAACGAGCGGTCATGGATCATGGGTCATGGGCCTTTTCTTTTCTGCACGCAACGAGTTATTCCATACCAGCACTTATTCATCTCTGGCCTCCGAGTTCTGGTGACTGCAATGGAGACTCCAAAAGTGGCAGGTGGTGAAGTATCCCAGACACTCCATGTATGCCGTATTGCCTACATTAGAGTGGTGCCAGGGGGGTCAATGTAGGTGTTTGGGTATGGTGAAGTGTTCTGGTACATGGAGTCTTTGGGTTTTTCTTGCTCGCCTGAAACCGCTCGTCTGACCGAAAACTGCCGGTCGACCGATCTGGGGGTGAAGACCTCACGGTGGTCTTCTCCGGTCCACCGGTCATTCGCGGTCCGGTCCGGCACATCGGTCCCTCCAGAAGGTTCATGACTCGAACGAAACATCTTTGGGGGATAATGATATTTATTGAAGTTGTACTAGTAGTATAGCTACTAGGTCACTCGTTTTCGTGTGCGGCCCTGATTGGGACTTTGGGACTGGCACAAGCTCATTATGCGTGTGTGTGTGAATTATATTCCTGAAATCCACGTGCGGGATCGACCGATTGACATCCTCTCATCCCAACAGATACTCCAGAGGTGCACATCATGCTTAGAACACCTTCCCTCCAAAGCTTCCCATTCCCCCACTTCGCTATAAAAATCCGGGTCCCAATCCAGAGGGTAAAGAGGGTCCCTTGGGTCCGGCCACACATCTCCAAAAGGTCCAAAAGGATTAAAACCACTCCTCTTAGCTGGTTGCTCGATCTTGTCACCCTGCTTCTTTTTACCCCTCTCCTCTAGCTTCAATAGAGGGTCCAGGTCTGGTCCAGACTTGCAGCCACTCCAAGAGAGGTTGAGAGACCAGAACTAGGACCCTGTAGTGGTACATATGGGATGGGCGACAAGACGGGCTGTTCAACCCTCTCTTGGTTTTTGCTGAAGCGGGGTATGGTTGTTCCGCCGCAGGATGTGATGAAACCTGAGTTCTGGGCGACGGAACATCGCTTCCTGGCCGATTCGAGCGGGGAGGTCTGGCCGTTCGGCACGTGGTTTACCGGTCGTGACTGGAGGGTTTGGGGCTCTTGTGTGTGTGTGTGTGTTGTGTTGTGTGTTATGTGTTTCTGTTTTATTTTTAAAGGGGGTTCGGGGTTTAGTGTATTTTAAGACCCTTTGGCCGCTGGGTTGCTCTATGTTCCGGACCTTGCAGGGGTTTACTACGCCTGCGGTCGGTCTCCCTATAAAGGTATTGTCTCAAGGTACTGGCTTCGTCCGATCTGGGAGAGAGCTGTTTTCACCGGAACTCAGCTACTTGACACTTGCTGGACTCAGCTACTTGACACTTGAACAGCTCCTGAGTCATGAGTGTTTCTTGCGAAGGTCCGTAGGCTATTCTGCAGCCCAATCCTATAGCCAAGGAAGTTCGTTCGTTCGTTGTTTTTTGTCCTTCGGAGATGCACAGACTGGAGAAGTGGATGACCATTTTAAAAATGAAAGGAGGACCTTCTTGGATGACCACATGTTATGAAAAAAAAACATGAATCTTCACTGGATGACCATCTTGATTCCAAGAACAGATCCAAGGCACCACTGTGTTGTCAGCGTCCCCTGAAGTTGGTTGAGAACGAATTCGGATCTTCCTATCACGGGGTTTTGTTCCATGCATGCCACGACCGCGGAACTCGGTCTTCCCGGCGGGTTGTGTATGGATCTTTTCCATTGGCAGGAGTTTCAGGACGTTGGTCCAGCTGTGAAGAACTGATTGGTTTCTTTCGTCGACGCTCAGTGGATCATGGATAGTAGGTGCACAGTCCTTTGAAAGACACACAAAGAGATCAGAAGAAGGATGGGCAAATGGATGGAACTATATCAGTCAGATCCACTTGGCAAAGGGAATCATTGCAGTCAAATCTATACTTAAGAGCAAGGGAAGTCTCTCTGAGCCAGATTCCCTGCTTGCAACAGAGAACTAGCAAGCTATTAGGCCATGCCTAGGCTCCTGCATCCTGTTCCCAAACCCTAAGACCGCGCCCGCCGATCACAACCCGAAACCCCGAACCGCCGGAGGCTATGTCTTTGACAATCCCTCCTCGCTGCTGTGCTTCCTCTCCAACGACTTGCCCTTGGTCTGCGAGGAGGTCCCCGGCGACACCGGCCTTCCGGGGCCCCTGGTGACGGAGCCGGAGCTGCAGGAGCTGAGGCCTCCGTGCCAGCTGCTGTAAAAGGAGCTGCCGCCGTTGGGGCCGGGACGTTGGGGCAATGGCGTTTAGGGTTTTTGCGATGGATCAATTGCTACTGTTATTTGATGTAATATGATGTAATTTGATGTAATTTGTTGTATTTATTTTGTTGAAAGGCATCGCAAGCAGAACCCTGACCTCCTGTGGGTTTAGCTGCTTTAATTACAAGGTGCAGGAGTCAGATTGCTGGATCCAGGCATGGTCCGACTGAAGATGACTGCAGTATCTCCTAGCCCGACTTAAGAATTATGCAGGAACCTTGCACTTTTTGCTGGGGTGTGAGGCCAACTGTAAAGAATGACTGTCACTATCAGTCAGACATGGTCAGACAACATAGAGATGAATAGAGATGAGATGTTTTTTCTGTGATATACCCCTGTCCACCCATCAACTGGTTAGGTGAGGACCCCCTCATCCATTTCGTCCGGGGGTCTCGTGTGATATTCATCGCCAGGTGCAGCGGGGCCAGCGGCGCCGGGCGCCGAGGCCGGGAACCTCCGGGTGGTGTGGGAGGAGATAGATCATCGGATCATGGAGCAACAAAGCCATGTCTCAAATGCTCCATGTATGCAAGTCTGGGCTCCATTTGCAGTGATTTTGTTGGTGAATGTAGCCCCAAAGGGTCTATATTATATGCATCCTTTTCAATTGGTCTTGGAGTCTTGGAGGTGAACTTTCCTGATAGTTCCAGTTCGAAGGGTCCAGGACGATCACGTCGACATTAGTATCAAATTATACCATATATGAATTTAGGTATGTAACATATACTCAATATATTAATGCGTTAATGTAACATTTTTTTGTTATATATCTTGATTAGTCATATGATAAACATCTCCAATGCCAGGGTTGTTACATACTAGGGACCTCAAGCCTTCTGGCTGCATGTCGGGTCAGCTCTCTCCAAGGGAACCGAACCCACCACCTGAGGCTTTCAGAATCCACATTGAAAGCATGAGTTTCATGAGGAGTTGCTGAAATCTATGATGATATTGGCATTTCATAGGTGATCCGTATTGTATTGGTATTGGTATTTCATATTTATATATATATATATTGCATGGCATTGCGTACTGGTAGTTCATAGGTGACCCATTGGAAGATCCTGGAGCAAGGTCATTCAGAATGCTTCGAAGGTCTTCCAAAAACAAACACATCGCTTTTGAGACACGCGGCCCAGACAGCTCACTTTCAGTTTTTGATGAGATCTCAACTTCTCAACCAGTCAAGAGAAGCTGAGTCGATGAACCTCCAGATCAGCTCGTCTGCTCGTCTTTCTACTGCTTTTCCGACGAAGATTTGGGGGTTCCATGTCTGTGGAGTCCCCCCCCCACCTCCACAGGTGGCCCATCCGCTCGTCTCTCCGCTTGCTGCCTCCAAGGAAGCACCGTTGACAGCCTCCAAGGCGGAGCCCGAGCCGGGGATTCGGAGGAGCCGTTGGTTTGGGGTGAAGACCAACACTTGGACCTTCCTTGGAAGGATGAAACTGGTTGGAGGGCAAGTCAAAGTCAAGCAACATGTTAAATAGTGACATATTATCAATACCTTCACCTGAAGACCTGGGACCTTTGGTCTCTTTTGGATCCTTATGATCCTTGGATATCCTTGGATGAGGTGTTGATGAACAAACGTCCTGCGACCTTCTTCGATGAAGATGGCACGTGGATGGCTATACCGCATGCCTTTGGATTAGAATAGAGGACTCTTTCTCTCCCACGGTCTTCTCTAATTTAGCCACGTCACTGTTCATGAGAAAAAACGAGTTGCTTTTCATCTAGCTGATAGGAGGTGGACAGGTGTGGAGCTCATAAGTTCTACACTCCCTGAATGACTTCCATGATGATATCAGGGAGTGTACCCTCCAAACTACTATTAACAAAGGGCATTTCTACTAGGCAATGACGCTACTAGTAGCTCCTGGCATCGCTACTAGTAATGGCTCCTCGCATTGCTACTAGGAGCAAATTCACAGGCTGTTGAGGAACATGGAATATCGAGGAGTGTTGACTTTTTAAAGAAGAGGATGGCCTCCAACCTAATAGCGATGGCCTCCAACCTACTAGCGATGGCCTCCCGTAATAGCGACGGCCTCCAACTATACTAGCTAGCCTATTTTCTACATTTTGCTATATACTATAGTATCAGAGAGTGCTACTATACCCTCCAAATTCACAGGTTGTAGAGGAACATCGGAATATCGAGGAGTCAGGAGTCCCTTTTTTCAGGATTGGGACCAGGGCTGCCGGACCAGACCCGTCACGGTGAGGCAGCCGCTGTACGGGTCCCAAGACGAGAGGAGGAGTTGGGCGATTTGGTGAACACATCTGAGCCATGCATAGCCATGCATAGTACTTAGTATACCAGAGAGTGCCCCAAAGTCAAGAAGAAATAGATGAAGACGTCTATCCTTTCATGTTCTGTTTGGATGTGCAAAAGAGTTCGGAGTTCTCTTCGAGCTACATTCGCTCATCTTCACCCCCCCACATGCACGCCACATTCACGCACCAACGACTGGAGCCTTGTCGAGGGGGTGGAGAAACACTCCATGGTGGCCCACATTCACCACCAGAACCCACCAGTCATGTAGGCCATTGCAAACTGGACGCGGGAAGAAAACAATAGAACATATAGTAACAAGTAACATAAATAAATATATATATATAC